GTCTTTTCTAGGTTACTTAAAAAAATTATACTCAGATATGTGCGGGTTAATAGAAAACCAAGAGTTAAATATGAAGTTTTTAACAAAAAAAAAAGGGGGATTAAATATGACAGATTTCAAGAGCAATATAAAAATATGATATTGTTCCATCTTTTAAATGCAGCCAAAAACCTTATTCCTAAATATTGGCAAACAACAGAACCCTAAAAATAAAGGATTGGATGGAAAAAGTTGAATATATATATGTAGGATGGAAGAATTGTACCATGTGGAAAAATTCAAGATTTTCAGAAGTGGTTGGAGTGTAAAGGAATAAAGAAAATAAATAAGCTGCTAGGAAAAACAAAAAAGAGAGAGGGAAAAGACAAGGAAGGGAAAAAGTAATGTAGAACAATAAAAGAAGATTAAGAAGTAAACGGAAGGATTAAGTTGACAAGAGGATGAGGGAGGGTGTGGAAGGGGGAGGGTGGGTTATATATAGAAATATAGGATTATGGGACAGGGATGTTGGATTCTTATCACCCGACACCCGGGACATGTAATTATGGGCGCCAGGCAGGTAGTTTCTTTCTACCTTTAGCCCTGCTGCTTGTCAGGTGAAGCAATCGGCGGCAGTGCTGCCACTGAGTGCTAGCCTCTCCGCGTCCCCCCGTGAGGTCTCCCCAGCTCGCTGTCGGCTAGAGGGGAGGGAGAAGAGTGGACAAGTCCGCTCCCCTTCCCTTCTTATGCTGACCTGGAAGTGACATTATGATGTCACGTCTGGGTCCCTGTTGAGAGATTGTAATGCAATCCTCTGGAAAGAGCAATCCCCAGTGGAGCAGAGAGAAGACATCCAGGTTCTTACACCTTGGATGTCTCAAAGAGAACCTGTCACCAAAAATCATCACATTGGGGACTTTGTCCCCTATGTGCTGCAAAAAAAAAGTAAACAAAAAATAAAAAGGTTTTTTTTTTGTTTGTGTTTTTTTTTTTATTGTAAAAAAGAAGTTACACCCAAGCACATACCACCCCCCCCCCAAAAAAAAATATTGAGGCCCCTACATATACAGTATGCACGTACAAACGTAAAAGCACATATTGAGGTGCCTACGCATGAAACTGTTGATTGGGACACACATGTTACATATCGCCATGCACGCCAGAATGAGAGCAATAATTCTAGCACCAGACCTCCTCTGTAATGCTAAACTGGTAACCTATAAGAAGCTTTAAAAGTGTAGACCTATAGAAATTATAGGGTACTGAAGTTTGTCGCCATCTCACGAGCGTGCACAAATTTAAGGTTTGACAAGTTGGATATCTATTTACTCGCTGCAACCTCATCTTTTATATTTTACAAAAAAATAAGGCAATTTATTGCTTTTTTGTGCCCTAAAATTAACTTGTATTTATTTACTCCTGTGCCACCATCCCCTCCCTCCTAGATTGTAAGCACGAAAGAGCGGGGCCCTCAATCCCCTCATGTTTTGCATTGTATTGGTATTGTTCTGTCACATGTTCTGTCCCCCTTTGTAATGTACAGCGCTGAGCGAACTATTGGCGCTTTATAAATACTGTATAATAATAATAATTTACTGGAATTTTGCGGTAAGATCATGCGACAAAAAAAAATTGGAACGATCACTATTTTATTCTATTTATTCTTTCAGAAAATATATAATGTTTGGGGGTTTTATGTAATCTTCAGGCCTAAAATTATTTTTTAAACGTGTGCAAAAAATGCAAAAATGGCTCTGGCAGCGAAAGGGATAAAGTATAATTCCAGACCCACCCTGTCCTGACGAGCAGCCAATCGGTGCTCATTACACTGCAAGGTCTCTCTCCTCCCTGCTAGTCCCCCGGTGCAGTGTTAGAGACAGGAAGGGAAGGGAGGAGGAGATAAACAGTGCAATGTTAAAAATATTACACGTTTAAGTCACCATAAAGCCTCTTTTGTTTTTAAAAGCCCCAGACATTCCTAATATCTCTGATTTAAAATCGGTTTTGGTTAAATTTTATTTTTTTTTATCTGGACAAATAGATTGTTATGAGGGACAAGTAGATTGGGGTCCCGATTTAGTCCCTGGACAAGTAGTTTTTTCAAAAATTCCCACACCCCTGTGGAATGTAAATAAGTATAGATTTTTGTATTGTATGAAGTTGGTTTGAAATGGATTTGATGGATAAAAATTTAATAAAGATATAATAAAAAAAAAAAAGAAAATATATAATGTTTGGGTTTTTTTTGTAATCTTCAGGCCTAAAATGATTTTTTAAATGTGTACAAAACACAAAAACAGCTCTGGCAGCGAAAGGGATGAAGATAAGCCCGACACTCCCCTTTCCTGACGAGCACACCAGCCATCCGTTGCTCATTACACTGCAAGGTCTCTCCCCTCCCTGCTAGTCCCTGGGTGTGCGGTGCTGGAAACAGGCAAGGAGGGGAGGAGGAGATATACAGCGCAATGTTAAAATTATCGCCATAAAGCCCCTTTTGTTTTTAAAAGCTCCAAACATTCTTAAAACCACCTTGGATTTAAATACGGTTTTTTTGTTAAAATGTATTTTTTTTTATCTGGAAAAGTAGGTTGTCATGAGGGACATGTAGATTGGGGCCCTGATTTAGTCCCTGGACAAGTAGTTTTGTTCAAAAATGTCCACATCTCTGAGTTCCCTTTTTTAGTGTGTACATATATGTGTGTGTGTATTGTGTGTGTGTAAGCACACATACAAAGGTATGTCACAATATACCTTGTGCAAACACTTACCGTTCACCTTAACCACTTTTATTTGGTGCACTTCTTTAGCACAAGGAAAACTGCCCCTATAATTAAAAAGACCTGTTTGACTGTGTTTGCCTTACAGACAAAAGTTCCCAGTCCTCACTTGAAGCACTGTTTTCTGAGTCCTGGTATAGAGCTCAGTTCACAGAGCCACTACACCAGGATAAGGATCCTGTTTTACAAAAGTGACAGTTATTTTCAGCCAATGCAATGAGATTTGAAAGATATTCACATGGCTACATTAAAGATGTATACCCTGTGCTAAAGCTTAGTGAATTAAACCTATGGTCATTACCAGTGTTGTAATAAGAGAAACACGGCTAGGAACAGGAAATTACATTTCTCCAGGGAAGTTCTGTATGTCAGCTGTCAAAAAAACCTACAGGTCAAACTTGAATTTTTGGCAGGTTTGAAAAATTTAACTTGCTCAAATTGAGCTAGAAATGTAATTTTATTAAAGGTGATTTCACCTTTTAAAAAAAAAAAAAAAAAAAAAGAAATGCACATCTGTTTGCAGGTAAGTTTTATTATTTTTTTACACTGGAGCCTGTAAAGCATTGCACCCACGATCAGCAGATTGCGGATGCAGTGCCAGGCTCCTGCAGACTCTCAGTACACTGTCTGCCCAATTCTTGTGCAAGCAGGCAGTTATTGAATTGCTGGAAGAATCCATGAACTTCAAGATCACTTACCAGTGCCCTTGCAGTTCATTGTGAACTACGAGCTGTTGGCCACAGTGGCTGACTGTAGTTGTAGTTCATTCATTCAAAGAACTCTGTGAATGAATGACGAGGCCACGTGGGTGTAAATTGTGACAGAGGGTGTTGGGAGAAGATCCCCCGTCCACTGTCACAGGGAGGGGGAAATCGAAGGAAGAGGAGTCAGGGGCTGGAACATATTACACGTTCCACCCTAAATTTGTGAGCTCAAAACTTTTGTAATTCAGATGTGGGGTTTTTTTTGTTTTTTTTTTTTTTTACAAAATTAGAGTTGTCTTTTTATTAGGCAAGAATGGAGAAGTGAGACAGCCTCATAAAGTTATTTCTAAACTTCACCAGCATTTTTGGTTCTCGGTTTTCTCTTTTGGTCCTCGGTTTCTCTTTTTCAGTCCAGGGGGCTTAAAAAGAGAAAGCTTTACATTTGTGGCTAGTCTTACCCTGTTCTACCCTTCACCGCTACTTTACACACCTCTGGTACACTGCCTAACCAAGCAGTTGTTTTCTCTCGTTTCTGGTTCACCTTTACAGCTGCCTTTGTTTTCTTCTGCACATTTGATCAATCGATTGCCAGTGTAATAGCATGATTCATTGTCCAATGGGTAGACTGGCAGCAGAGCTGGGACACAGGAACCAAGTAACAGGGTTTCCATTCTGACGCTGTGATTGAATACCAAGACCATATCCCAAGAACAAACATTAAAGTATGACTAAAGCAAAACTTTTTTTTTTTTTTTTTAAATTTTGGACAGAGTTTAGCGGAATTAGAACACCTGCCATTTTGCTGTCTGTGCCCCCGTTAGGGAGATTCACTCTCTCTATTTGACCTGTTTACCATTATCATTGAAAGTAAGAGAAAATCCCAAATTTTGGGTTGTCCCCAGAAAAGTAATAGAGGGTAAATCTTCCAATAGGGACACTAGTTCGGGTGATCTGGGGGTCCCCAATAAATTCCCTTAATTTGTAGGGATTTCCTGTCACTTTCTGCTTGGCTATGGGACAGGATGTGAAGGGAAATCTGCACAATGGGGCAAAAAACAAATCTGACTGTGGTTATAACCCTCCCTTGCTCTATCCAAAATGGGGAAAAAAAGGTTTTGCTTGTTTTGCTGTTTAACAAGTAAAACCGTTTAATTTATACTGTTTTATTTACGTATTTTCCAGTTTCTTTTAAGGTCTACTTTGCCTGCAAATCAGCTGTTCAGTTTAGATGTAGCATCACAAAAGAATTCCTGATGGTTTTTGTGAATGAGCATAGTTTGGGGCTCTAATTATAGATTTCACTTGCTAGTAAAATTTGGTATCATGGTGCTACCAGTCACAGTGGTGCACTTTGAATATTTGAATGGTCAGCCAAGTACTAAAAATGTCAGCAAGATTTTGTCCATATTTGTATACTAATAGAACATTTCTACCAAAACTGTATATCCCCATTTACCTGCTAAATTCTGGAAAACAGAATGGCTTATGGTGAATTATGACATGGCATGAGTTTACTGATGGCGCTTTATTTCTTTTTCAGTGTGTGCTGTACTTGTGGGCCTTGAAAATTCTATATCCCAAAACTCTGTTTTTACTCCGCGGGAATCATGAATGTAGACATCTAACAGAGTATTTTACCTTCAAACAAGAATGTAGGTATACCTTACTCTTTCATTTCAGGTGTTCATGTTCTACAAAAAAAGGTTTCTAGTTAGAGACATGCCAGTGGGTCCCTGTAGGATAGAGGAACAAGCTACTAGCTACATTATGTCTCTAAGTATTTACGACACCGATTTCACCTTTAGGCTAACAGACAAATGTTGAGTAATAGTTTTATGATTCACTTTATTAATATGAGGCCTATTCTGTGGACAGGGATTATATCATGCCTCTCCAAGACAAGCTGTTACTCATCTAAATGTTATTAATGACACTGTGGTCATGGTCTATGTGTTGCCCTAAGGGATCCTATTATGTGTGTCCAGTCTTGTACATGGAAGTTGTGTTACAGCAAATTACTGTTCTGCTTTTTAAAACTAGTGTATTTAATAGAAAGTGGAAAAGCCAACCTTTTAGGAGTGAAAAGGAGCTACAACCTCCATTTTTATTGCTCTGTTCCCATTTGGTGAGAATTGCACTCCTGACTTGGTAACTGGTCAGAAAGCAGACCAAAATTTCTTGCATGGGGACAGGAACAATAACAGAATTCACCTTTTATTTGTAGAGTAAAGTGGGCTTAAAATCAGATTTTTCTTTCTGATTTCTGTTTCTGTCCATAAAGAAAAATCTAAAACCTTGACGGAGGCTTTAGTCTTCCTTACTTTCCAAATAGAAAATGTTTAGGATGACGTTACTGTTCAAAGATCAGTATGAAATGTTTTAGTAAAAGTGTACTATTGCATCGCATTCTGTATGATTTGATCTTTCCACGGTAAACTAAAAACAGGTTGCTATAGGTTATTCCATTTTGCACATGATTAGATTTGCATCTAAAATTCAAATGCACCATTCACCTGTCCTTGCTGTTCTTAAGATATTAGTGTTCGGATTTCATTTCTGTTCATTCTGCTTGTATTTTCTTGTCTGCTAAGTTTATTCATTAATGTGTCAGACTTTATGGTGCCAATGTAAACTGCAGTTGACATTCTTCATTTTTTTAAATGTACAACTCATTATAATGATAAAGGGCAGCAAGCATATTTTGCCATTTCATAGAACATTTTAATCATCTGCCAAGATTAATGGTATGCAGTAGCCCACAGTGGGCAATCAAAAGCTAGCTTTCAGTTGTTAAAACAGTACAAGCTATTGAAAACTGGTTTCTTGTATCTTGCTGTGGACTACGTCACATTACTTTTGTTGTAGTATACATTTGACATAGTGTGGTATTTAGTAAATTCACATAGTATGTGTATGTTCAGTAAGAAAGCACAAAGAGTGTAAGAAAGGTAATGTGCAGTAACATGTAGTAGCCAGGATTTTTTTTTAATTCAGAGTTGCTAAAGGTTACTGTGAAGTATCAATGCTCTTAGCTCTTTGTACTGTTATTCTGAAAAAAGCCAAATCCCAGATTCTTCTAACTTGCATCTCATCTATGTATATCAAAATATATATACTGTATATATGGACACACAAAATGTTCAAAACATGTTTGTAATAAACCATTATAATTCAACAAAATGCATTGTAAAACAATATGATTATTTCATCTTAGGAAAGATGAAAGATGGCATTGACTTTAAAATGTATACAGTGAAGGAAATAAGTAATTGATCCCCTGCTGATTTTGAATGTTTGCCCACTCACAAAGAAATGATCAGTCTAAAAATGGAATGGTAGGTGTATTGTAACACTGACAGAATAGCAACAAAAAATTCAAAAGAAATGCTTGTCTAACAAATTATGCACTGATTTGTATGTTCATGAGGGAAATAAGTATTTGATCCCCTATCATTCAGCAGGATTTCTTGCTACCAGGTGTCTTTCATACAGTTAACAAGCTGAGATTAGAAGCAGTCTCTTAAAGAGAGTGATGCTAATCTAATTTTGTTACCTGTATAAAAGACACCTGTCCACAGGAGCAATCAAACAATCAGATTCCAAACTCTCCACCATGGCAAAGACCAAAGAGCTGTCCAAGGATGTCAGGGACAAGATTGTAGACCTACACAAGGCTGGACTGGGCTACCAAACTATCGCCAAGCAACTTGGTGAGAAGGTGACAAAAGTTGGTGCAATCATTCGCAAATGGAAGAAACACAAAACAACTGTCAGTCTCCCTAGGTCTGGTGCACCATGCAAGATCTCACCTCCTGGAGTGTCAATGATCATGAGAACCATGAGGAATCATCCCAGAAATACACATGAGAATCTTGTCAGTGATCTCAAGGCAGCTGGGACACAATCACCAAGAAAACAACTGGTAACACACTACGCAGACAAAGATTGAAATCCTGCAGTGCCCGCAAGGTCCCTCTGCTCAAGAAAGCACATGTCCAGGCCTGTCTGAAGTTTGCCACTGAACATCTGAATGATGCAGAGGAGGACTGGTTGAAAGTGTTGTGGTCAGATGAGACCAAAATCGAGCTCTTTGGCATCAACTCAACTTGCCGTGTTTGGAGGAGGAAGAATGCTGCCTATGACCACCATCTCAACTGTCAAACATGGTGGTGGAAACATTCTGCTTTGGGGCTGTTTTTTTTGCTAAGAGGACAGAAAAACTGCACTGCATCAAAAGGATGATGGACGGGGCAATGTACTGGCAAATCTTAGGTGAGAACCTTCTTCCCTCAACCAGGGCATTTAAAATGGGTTGTGGATGGGTGTTCCAGCATGACAATGACCAAAAACACACGGCCAATGCAACAAAGGAGTGGCTCATCAAGAATCACATTAAAGTCCTGGAGTGGCCTAGCCAGTCTCCAGACCTTAATCCTATTGAAAATCTGTGAAGGGAGCTGAAAGTTCAAGTTGCCAAACGTCAGCCACCAAACCTTAATGACTTGGAGAGGATTTGCCAAGAGGAGTGGGCCAAAATCCCTCCTGAGATGTGTGCAAACCTGGTGGCCAACTACAGGAAACGTCTGACCTCTGTGATTGCCAACAAGGGATTTGCCACCAAATACTAAGTCATGTTTTGTGAAGGGGATCAAATACTTATTTCCCTCATGAACATGCAAATCATTGCATAATTTGTTAGACATGCATTTCTTTTAAATTTTTTGTTGCTATTCTGTCTTTGTGTTACAATACACCTACCATTTGATTTTTAGACTGATCATTTCTTTGTGAGTAGGCAAACATTCAAAGTCAGCAGGGGATCAAATACTTATTTCCTTCACTGTATATGTATTTAAAACGGGGCTCATCAATCATCATCACCTGAAATCACTTTTCACATTAAAAAAAAGGTCTGCACTGAGAAAAATAAGGGGCTATCAATACTGACCTCCAGCTAAAAGTACTAACCTGAATACAATGGATATGCAAGACCTCTGGGGAACTAGCATTTTCAGGAGATGGATAGCAATGGCAGCCTTCATAATTCGTCATTCAAGGACTGCATTGAATTCCTATCATTTCTGCACACCAGCTGAAAGCCTGGATCAGTTTAAACAAGTGGTTGCATTGTTTGTAAAATGACAGAGTGAAAAAGGCAGTCACTGACACCAAATTCTTTTTGCAATGCTTTCTATCTGACGTTGGAGGTGTAAGGGTCACGTTGCATTGGTGATTGTGCTGTTGGCAACCTTGTCTGCAGCAAAATCACCAAAGTGCATCTACCGATTTCTATATGAAAGGATGAATTTCTTGTAAAATGCTGCAAAACCTAGTAATTGAGCTTGCTGGTTCTCGCATAGAAGGGGTGATGTCACTTGACGAGGTAGATTGGCTCCTAACAATTCTCTCACTAACAAGTTTTTGCCAGTGACCGAATTTCTGTTGTGACTGGGCCTTTTGTTGAATGCACTAAGATTGCATAGTGGAGGAAGTAAACTCAGATTTCATGGGTAGTTGACAGACATGTAATGATGCATGGATAAGACTACACACAAGCTGTAAGTGTACAATAGTGGGAATGGCAACTTATACTAAAGATTTACTGTTTCGGATTCCCAGTTAAAATTACTTGAAGGTTGGTTTGTTTAATTATTTATTTATTTTGGCTAGAGCGTTTGGAAGACTGCCATTGGTCATAAAAATGGATTGAATACCAGTGCCGCTGAATGACAATTTCACTAGAATATAAAATGTAGTGTTGCTGACATAGATTTCCTGAAGCCTAATTTGTGAAAATAATTTTTTTTTTTTCCTGTCATTAAAAGGTAAAATAAAATATTCAGAAAGAGTGTATGATGCCTGCATGGATGCCTTTGACTGCCTTCCTTTGGCTGCTCTGATGAACCAACAGTTCCTATGTGTACATGGTGGCTTATCTCCGGAAATCAACACTTTAGACGACATTAGAAAAGTAAGTGCTGATGAAACTAATCTACAATATCGGAATACCTGTACTATTGTTCTGTTTTATAGTGTGTGGGACAAGAGACGCTGTGCCTTAAGGAAGGGTAAATGCATACCGAGAAAGTAAATGTTACTCTACCTGCTGGCACGATTCAATGCAGTGTGTTCTGCCACCTGCCTGAATATGCTGAATGTATTCCTAATGCAAGCTCTGCATGCTGGCAATGTAAAACACAGTCAGAAGGGCTATAACAGGAGCTGCATATGTGCATATGCCCACTTATTTTATCTAAAACAAGTTTTGCTGTTAGCACACTGGGTTTCCAGAATAGATTTTATTTGCCAATGAAACACTATTACCAACTGACTACATTTACATGTAGAAGAGAACATTGTCAGAAACATTAAGGATTAGTAATAATATAAAAAAAAACAGTCAGGCTACCTAAAACTGCTATTTTTATATCTCTTGAAGATTGTATTGGCAGGATCTGTGCTTGATTTTCTGGGTCTGCAACTTGCTGTGACCATTATCAAGGGTTTTTGCTCTCCCTGTTTGAATCTTTAATTTAATTAATGACATGGAGAATACAAGGGAAAGAGCTGTAACACACAAACATGAGCAGGATTGCTTCAAACCCCAGGTAGAATTGAATATCAATTATGGCAGGGAGAGCTTGCTGCTGAAATATATAAGAAGCAAGGGATTCTGTGAGCCTGTGCGGCTTCATATATTAGTAGACTTTTAGTACAAGGTATCCTTTACATGTCCCCCTCCTTCTTTCCCCAAACCTTCTTCTCAAATCTTACGCATACCTGTGCTTTGTACCACCATCGTCTTTACTATGGTTCATTGGGATCAGCACAGCTGCTGCAGAAGTGGCCAGGCTCTTATTTCAATCATCTGAACTAAAATATTCATTTATTGGCTTGGATAAACCATCTTTTATGTGCCTTAAGTGTGTACAAACTTTTCACAGGAGTAGGTGGAGATTGCTGAGCTGGTTGGCAGAAAAAGATCCCACCTGAGGGAAGATCTGTTCAGTAGTTCCTTTGCAGTCCACAGTGATGGTCTTTGAGAAACAAGGATGGTGACATGTCTGTGTACCTTTTTGGAGATTTGTATTTCTGACTTTTAAAAACACCCTACCACCCCCAGTCAAGGGCGGGTGGTGATTGGACACAAATCTGTAAAGACAGTCTTAGCATATCCCCTCCCACTCCCTGCAAGTCTTTTTTACATCATGATTTTGCTATCAATTTTTTTTGCTGCTTATAGCCATTGCGATTTTCATTTAGCTGCTTTCTGGATTTGTTGACTCCTTACTTTTGCCTTAGGGGACTGTTCCAAGACACAACCTGAAATAAGATGCAAGGCTGCTTGTAATGTTTTCTTTGGGCACTGGATCCTGTGTAAAGCACTCACCTAGACACTTGTGCAACATGGTGAGTTAACCGCAGGGTGCTCTACATGTCCAGGGCTGTAGCACTACCTGCTGTAGTAGTGTGACCCTGTCCCTGAAGACCCTTTTGCTCACTGGGAGGACAGAGGGCTGGATGTTGCTTGCCACTAGCATTCATTATCTACCATCTGGTAGAACTGCATGCTAGTGTTACATCAGGGCTTCAGCCCTTAAAACCAGGGTGCTCAGTGTGTGGAATACTCTGGTCCCTCGGGGGGGGGGGGTTAACAATGAGAAAATCTCAATAGCTCCTGCACATGGGTATGGGTAACTAGAAACAGAGATTTTTGGTGGAACTCAGATGATATGAAAATTCCAAAGGATAGGCCAAGCCTTGCTGCTCTCGTATAGGACTGAGGAGGCAACTACAAAGAAAAAACCGAGCGCACCGGCTTGGCATTTTTTGAAAACCCCTCTTCCACAGAGCCCCTCGAAATACGTCAGCCTTCAGTTGGCCCTTGGATGGCACTTCTTTTGATGCAGGAGCCTTTGGTTCTTTGTGGAATACATACTTAATGACTGTCACTTGTCATGCGATTTGTCTTCACTCGTTTGTGAATATATCTTATCTATTTTTTAATAAATTCATATCTGGGATAATGCGCTAGGCCGGTGCACTCTTGTTTTATCTCTTTGCAGTTCCCTCGGGGGTTAACCCCGGACTGCTATCTGTGACTATGCCATTTTGTGGAGTAGGAGCCAAAATACCGGTGCAGCATCCTTATTCTGTTGTACTGTGTGCATGTAATTTTTCCCTCTCCATGCACCACAGCTGGCTGCTCCACCACTTTCTGCCCTGCAACCAGGACACAGCAAGGTATTCCTTGGATGAACTGGGCCCCTCTGCCTACAGTTTCTGGTCACAGAAGGAACACCCTTCCTACTTTGCACATAGTGGATCATAGTTGCCAGGGGGTAGGTTTGGGGGCCTGGCTGGCACACACTCCTCTAACAGTCAAGGAAGGGGGGGGGTTCAATGTTATTCTCCTGCGGAGTCCCACTAATGATAACCCTGACTGCTGTTCACAATTTGAGTTGCTGTTGTCCTCAGAAGCCTCCCTAGCTGCCTCAGGTGCAACCTCCTACCCCATTTCTTCAGAGTTGAATTCTCAGCGACAGTTTCTGAACTCGTTGATAGATTGTCAGCCCTTTTAGAGGCATCAGACCACAGAGACTGTAAAAAAAACTCTTTTGAGAGGGCACCCCCTCATGTTGCAGTATGGGAATGCTTGTCAGCCTTCTTCACAACCATCTGCTCCCAGCACATTTCAGATACCTCATCTAAAGGTTTTTAACTGTTTTTTTCATGCACAAACCTTTTGCATGGAATGTTGCCAGGTTATTTATTGCTCCCATTCAACTGGGGGATCATCTGGCCTACCTACACATTCCTGTTTTCTTACCACATCAGCAGTTATTGCATTTTGCTGGGGGTGTATGTTGTTCTTTCTCTTTGACCCATCCATGACACCTCGAATGTTCACCAAATGTTAGCACAAGTTACCTGAACTGTCTCATACCAAAGGAAGAATCAATCCAGACTCTGCTTACCAATGTCCAATGATGTTTGCCACCAACTGAATCTGCAGAGATTTAGCTGGATCGCCAATCTCCAGAAATCTGCACAGCCATTGCTTGTAGTAGCTGTACCTAATTTTAGATATGGCCTCTTCAGGCACATCTGGAGAAGCTCTTGACTCTCTGTTCAATTGTCAGGACCCTCTGGTTCAGAAGTCTGAGGCTAATGGTGGCTTCCTTGAGGCAGCAACATATGCCCATATTCACTCCAAGCTGTTTTTATTCAAAATTCTGGCAGTGTGGGACAAAAAGGCCTGGCCTTGGATTGCCACATGCACTTGACCAGTAAAACCAGGCTTGTCCTGGAATGGTGGATCGTCAATCTGGCATTGGATTTGGGAGGTTGCTTTCTCCCAATAACTTGAAAGGTTCTGACGATGAATGCCAGTGTGCCAGGCTGGGTGGAGGCCTGGATACCCTCTCAGTACAGGGCATTTGTTCATTGGAGGCAGCCTAGCTTATTATTAATCATTTCTGAACTTTTTGACTGCAGGATCACCCAAACAGGATGCAGCTTGACAATGCCACATCAGTGGCCTACATCAACAATTACGGAGGGACTAAATGTTGCACAGCTCAAAGAAAAGCAGACCAGATTTTGGTTTGAGCAGAACTTGACTGCCATGACTGCTTTGCACATTTTAGATGTGTAAAACTGGCATGTGGATTTTCTCTGTTTTCAGTGTCTGAATTCTAGATAATAGTCTTTTCACCCAGAGTTGACATGGGCCTCCTGGTGTCCAGGTTAAACATTAAACTGGAAAAGTTTGTGGCCTTGACCAGAGATCCTCAAGCCTCTGCATTGACCTATGCCTTTTCCCCTTTGAAGTTCTTTCCTTGTATGCTGCTCAGGATCAACAGAGAGGGCATTCTGGTAATTCTCATTGCATCAAATTGGGCCAGGAGGATGTGGTATCCAGATATACTCAGATTATGTGGGCTTTTATGTATTATCTAGATCTTCTGTTCTAGAGATCAGTTCATATTCCTGATTCTCAGTCGCTGACTTTAGTGACTTGGCTGTTGAAATCCAAGTACTGGGGGACAGGGGCCTAGTGATTTAGTCATCCCTATGCTCAAATTAACCCTCCTGTACGCTCCCCAGGGACTCCGTAGGATATCAACCTGGTTCTGTCAGCCCTTGAGAAGTCTCCCTTTGAAACCATCAGGAATATTCCCCTGGCTACCCTTACTCTTAAGGTTGCCCTCCTCGTTTCTATCACCTCAGCTAGCCAAATCCCTGATATGGTTGTCTTTTGGCCTAAGGCCTCTTTTTTTCTCAAGGTTGTTTCTTCCTTCCACATTAAAGTGATTGTAAACCTTCACCTTTCAGTTCGAAATAGAAATGAAAGGCAAAACATTTACATATCCTTTTTTTTTATAAGTGATCACATACCTCTCAGTTGCATAAGAACTAGAGGAGTAGAAACAGCAGCACACTGATCTTCCCAGTGAAATCAGGAATATGAGTTGTTTATATATTCTTTAACCAAGACGTTGTGCTTCCCTGCTGCTCTGTAATATTTTAAGGATTTTTTTCTCTCCACTGTAGTGATGTGGTGTGCACTTACTCTAATGTGTGGGTCTAAAGCAAGCCATAGATTATGCAATTTTCTTTCCTCGCTCGATTCCCCCATCAACACATTCAGTGTTGATAGGGGAATCCCTTCCGCAGCATTATTGTGTTCTGCCAGAAGGGAGCCTGCCCTGCCGGTAGAACACAATGGTACTGCAAGCCATTGATAACTGCTGCCAGCTATCTTCAATCTGACGTGGCAAAAAAGTGGATTTTGGATGTGGACATACTAGCCTCCAAATTCAAAAACAAACTACCTCTAATTGTTACCAGAACCATGGTTTCTCTAGCTCCTGCCTCAGTTGCCTTGATAATACTCTGGTCTCAATTTAGGCTAATTTATTCCTTTCCTCTTGTGCGAATCCTACATCATCTTACCAAGAAAATAGA